ACGGGCAAAATTGTTGTCGGGGCGTGCTCAGTAAAGAGTTCCCTAGTTTTTTAACCCTGTATTAAAGAAGCAACAATTTCATATCAGTAATCAATAAAAGTGACTTAGTTTATGTACGTGCTTATATTCTTTTACACTTTGTTGGCATGGTAATTTTCTAATATATAAATATCTCGTGTCATGGTGTTTGAAAGATTAACTCAACGCCGGTTTTCTGTACCGAAACAGGGCTCTCCTATATGGTTCCCTGCTAGGACTACGGAATCCTAAAAAGAAAGAAACAACTGTAATACTTTTGATGATAATGATGAGAATTTCATTTTGTTTTCCATTAAATCCTGTTTGATATCTTGGTTTTCTGATAATTTGGGAAAATAATATAATTCTTATCTCTCTAATGTTATATTTTGTTTAGGTTTTGATATATATATAATCACTTATCACATATTAATTACATTAATCATATACTTAGAAGTAGTATCAAATACTGAAAATTCTATTTGAAATATATAAACACGTTGTCTGATTGTGAATCTATATCATACATAAATCGTTAATAAAATCGGTTCAACGGTTTAGGAGAAGTTGAATAACACACGGACAGTCGAATTTCACAATGTATGAAAAGGTTACTTTAAGAAAATAATTTGTCATTCCCTTTAAGAAAATCGAGGTTGAAAAAATATTTAAAATGCCCATCGTTAACATGCAGAAGTATTTTTTCTTTTTTTAGATGTGTTTCTTAAATATGTTAACTGTATATGTTGAATATAAACATATAATAATTTACATATATTGAACCACGGCATAGAAAATCTACACAATGACTTTTTATGTTGTACTCGACGTGATATAAAATGAGACTTCAATGTTTTAGGGTTGAAATTTTACCATTAGGCAATCTCTAGTATTTCATTTTTATGGTATTAGGGGAGGGCAAACGGGTAAAACGACGCAGCTAATTGCCAACTTCAAAGTTTTCCGCGCCTCTCGGTACTCCTCATGAAGCCGGTCCTCCTCACCGTCTTCGCGGTGACGCCGCCGACTGCGGGCACAAGTACAGGCCGCACGAAGGTCCGCCAACTCCTGGGACCACCAGTTCCTCCATTTCCTACTCCATTCAGACCACTAGACCTTCCTTCCTTGCAGGCCGACGACCCCGGATACGGGGCATGGCCTCATCGCATATCTGCGTAACCGCATTACGAAAGCGACCGCCCCCATGTCGACTTAACTTGAAACAAACCCTTTTTTTTTTTTTAACGTGTGGAAATCCACTCGGACCGTCACCCCGCCGGGGCTCTCGTTCGGCGGGGCGCGGGCGGTGTGTCGGACTCGAACCGACTAAAACCACACGGTGTGCACTCTTTGCGCTTCCAGTTTAGGAGGGGTCCGGGTAGTTAACTTGAAACAAACCCTATACCAACCCGCCGGCCCAACATGACCAAAACCATTTTTAAGGTGATGCCTATGTCCAGTAGTGGCCTATCATAGGCTGTTGATGATGATGATGAAATGGTTTACAAACTTATTTTCTTTTCATTTTTGAAAATCTGTGAAACAATAAGTCAGTAATCCCCAAAATGTATGATTTTCAAAGGTCTTCATTCTTTTTATTAAAGATGGCACATGGCCAAAACCCAAAATCATTTGCAAGGGTACACCGCCGGCTACAAATAAAAGTGGTAATATAATGATTTTCAATCAGGATAAGCGGGTTAAGAGTTCTGTGAAGCAAAACCAGGAAATTACACATACACAGAATAACATCAAAGCAAAAGTTCCACTGTGTACAAATGTTTAAAAAAATACCTAGTTATTTTCAGAATGTGTCATTAAAGTGCATTTTTACTTGCACTTTCGGCGCTAATTTCGTCCTAAGGTAGGATTATCTTATCTACGACGGTAGGTGCCAGCACATTAGAAATGTTTTGCATTCAAAAGGGTTGCGAATTCCCTGAAATTGTTTATCATCCAAAAGTGAAAGGGGTGGCTAGTAAGCATATTACGGTGTGTTATTGTTTCGGTATCGCTGACACCTTAGATCGTGCCGACAATGCTTTGTAAAAAACTGCCGGTCGCTATGGTAACAAAAGAAAAAAAAACTACACTTCAATTGTTTTATTGGCTACAGGTAAACGGGTAAACGAAAACAATGAATATACGTACGAATACACGTACTCCCTTGTTCCTAACAAGGGAGTACGTGCTAAGGAAACTGCAAGAAGCATGATTTATTACCATAAACTAAGTACTTAACGATCAATTCATATCGAGTAATTCTGTCTGTCTGTTACGCTTTCACGGCTAAACCGCTGAACCGATTTTAATGAATTTCGGTATGTACCTTGATTTTTAAGGAAGGACACATGCTACTTTTTACCGCGATAACCGATATACACGCGGGCGGAATGGCGTGCGAAATCTAGTAAACTATAAATTCCAATTGTGTATGGGCTGCTCATACTGTGATCCTCTCAAGCGCTCAGAAATCATTTATTTAACCCTAATTTTTAATTCTTTGTAACATTTGCTGCCTGTTAGTGAAAAACCAGTGTAATTCGGTTCACGATAATTTTAATCCTAAGCCTATTGAAGCCTAGTGAAGTTGTTAAGTGGGTATTTTTGGGGATTATATGTGTAAATTAAAAATAACTTCACACATCTCACAAACAGTCGTCTGATCCCATACTAGGCAGCGTCTGTACTATGGTAACCAGACTGCTGATAAACATACTTATATATTTCTTAATACGTACATATCATAGATAAATTACACCCAGACACAGAACAGATGATTGTGCTCATGACACAACTATTTTTCCTGTAAGGTAATCAAGAGACTTGCGGCTTACCTGACGTAGATATAGTTCCAGGTACGCGACTCTAGTCTGCTGGAGCTATTGTTTTGTTCTTCCTTTGAGCCTTTTTCCCATACTAGGTTGGGGTTTTAAGTCTACTACGATAGGCTGAACTTAGATGTTTTACGCGGAGCGACTACAATCAGACCGCCACGATCCAAGTACTAGGCGATATCGAAGTTCTGTAGAAAGACTTGTTGGCATTTTTAGGACTCCAACTAAGACGATTGCTACAAATGTTCACATGGCAACCGCTAGAGCTATTGTTCACACTCCCAAAATCATCCGTTTAATATCACTTTCCTATTACTGCCTTTCCTTCTTAACTACCTTCCTTTATACACACATCAACAGCCTTTAATAGTACAATTCTGGACATAGGCCTTTCCTTAGAAAGGATGTTATGGCCTACTATACCACGCTGGTCAGACGGGTTGGTATATATATTTGTGTCAAGTTTTCCTTCTTTTTGCAGTGTTATTGTCCTAGTTTAATCACTTAGTCGGCTCTTACGACACCCGCGGGATGAATAGGGATGGTGAGATGCCGTATTCTTAATCTGTCACCACACGGACGTTCAGTGGTAGAATGCTCGCCTGCCTTACTTTATATGTACTCCTAATTATCCTATCTAATTTCTAAAGAGTCCAGTTGACAGCAATACGTAAGCCATCTCTCTTTTTAAACTCTGTTGAAGGTTTCGGGGTTACTGTTCCCTAAATTTATCACTATTCTTCAGTTATCCATTCAAATTTCACTGGAAGATTCACACTTAATCTAACCACCGAACAGTTAATAAGTAAAAAAATACATTAAACCAATAATAAATGAATTCAAATTATTATTATTATTTAATACTATTATTAAAAGTTCGCAGGTCATCAACATTTGGTTATTTATACTTATACGTCATGTTAAACAAGTTTTGCAATAAGGGCATACAATAATGAGCTGTGAAATGACTTGGCAATCGCACACAGCAATATTAGTATAGTAAAAATATGAGCTCATTAGCGCTATATTCGATTATGACTGTAAAAAATGATAGCCCTAGTAAATTATTCGTAGTATCCATTGAAGCATTATATTTATCGTCTTATATTGATACAGTCATTGTTAAATGTTAATAGTACTGCTTAACATCTGACCTGTTAAGTCCCACTTATTCAAAGGATAAAAACTACGTTGCCTTTAATATTTCGGACATCTGACACACAACGCCATTAGTTGTAAACACACACATATTATACGAGTACATAGAAAACGCCTAAACCCTGAAACAAATATTTGCAGATCATACAAACATTTGGTGCGACCCGGGAATCGAACCCGAGACGTCAGCACAGCAGTCGCATACGCTTCCACTGCACCACCAAGGCACCTTATATATTATCTTTTAGCCTTATATATTATGTTTTAGCGTTATATATTATCTTTTAGCTATTTATAATGGGAGTATCCTAGCTTTTAAACTTTCACGTTCCATAATTATATTTACGCGAATTAAAGCACTCCCAATATGTATTTGTTCCCGGTATTTGTCCATGGTTTCACGCTGACTATTCTAGGACTGACAGTCGTAAACATAATTATATATCTATAATATAGTATCACTGTAAAAAACATTATTTGATACACAAAAAAATTTTGAAGTTTAAAATAAAACCGAATTGAATGGTATTGTCTTTTTTTAATTATTTACCGTAAATAATGTCTTATGATATAGCGTTATGGCAAAACTAATGTCAGAAACCTACCTCCTTTAAATAGTAGTCCAGGTATTTATCTAGGTTATTATTAAAATAAATGCATCAAAAAGGAATCACCTATAGTTAGTGAAAGAACGTTTAAAAATTGTTTAGTAGGGATGTACTTTTAGTAACTACACAAAAAATATGCAAAACTTCACCACTTCATAACACTCTCTGACTCATTTAATCTCAAATACCTTTAATCCTTATTTATGACCACAAATAATTCTATAAATATTAAAATTTACAAACAGGTTGTTAACATCTGGCTGTCGTAACGTGTCATTGGTAGCTAAGCAACGGTTTGTTAGCAACATTTAAATGCAGTATAGCAGTACAATATAATGAAAATGCAAAAAAACATTAAGGCATTTTTTTCCACAAAATTATGAACAATGGTACAGTGAACGGTAAGAAGAGAATAGAGAAACAATAAGAGAGTCAATTATGTCTGTTTTTTTTATTGTATAGGGGCAAAAGGTCAGCTGATGGTAAGTAATTACCGTCGCCCACCCTTTGAGTCTGTCAGTCTGTCTGGAAAAGGGGTTTGAGCTCCGATAACCTCACTCACTCGGTGAAAAGTAGTGGAATAGTAGAAGATTTAGTTAACTTGAGTTTTCTGTGAGGCCTTGGTATCACTCCATCTTGGCTCATCATGGCTCTGTAACAGTTCAATATAATACCACTGTTAAGGATTTCTAAAATGACTCTTAATGCAATAAGGTTAAAGGCTTTAGTAACATACAAATACCAAATTTTCAATTCTATAATGTATAGATAATAGTAGCTCGCTCGAATAGTGCTAATTTGCAGTACCATATTTGAAAAGTGAGTCCACAAGTTGGTCAAAGACAAAGTTAGTCAAAACTGTAATAACTATCAAAGGTTATCTACCTATATTTACAATAATTCTAGAAAAAAATACCTATTAATGATACCAAAAGAACCTTTTTTCTTCACAATTACGTAAATGATTTTCTTCGAAGTTATAATACAGATACTTTGGGATAGTTAATTGGTTTTATTAATTTGAGCGGTTTGTGATTCAATAGTTTCTGAACATCATGTTTTTTTGTCCTTTAAAGACATCTATAACATATTCAAGACCCCGACTGTACCCATCGCACATTATTTTGTTGCATGACTCAAAATTTATTTTATTATTTTCTGTTCATGTTTGTTTGCTGAGAATTTTTTTGCATGTTTTTATTTAGGAATAAGTACATTATTTTACTATAGAGATGTCTTCAATAATAAAAAGTAAATAAAACGTATTTTATTTTTAAAATTTGTTAACACTATTAGCAATAAATTAAACCTTGACATAAAAATTAAATAATTTAATACCATATCAATCAGAAAGAGAAACTAAACCCTCTGCAATGCAGTACTTGCTTACGATTTGCAACCACAGACTAAATTCGCAAAACAAAAAAAAAACATGGTAGTCCCCGGGTCCCCAAAAAAAAAACTTTTATTGTACAGAACGTTGACCGTGTAAAACCGGTTCTAAGCCCGCAATGTACGCAGCCCTCGTCTGTTGCTGACGGGGCTGTCCTTTGTATTCTTATCATTATCACTGATTCAGTTGTCCACTTGATATTAAAGGCAAAGGTGTGTTACCTGAATGAACAGTCTGTCCGCGGACGCGCTTCCGTACGCACCTGTCGCATTTAAACCACGACGTCGTCCTCATTCGCACGTGATCAAAAATGTAATTATTTCAAATATCGAATGAAATCGAACTACGCAAATGTAAACAGAATAAAATAAACAATCTAGTGTAAATAATCGATTGTATATATATTTTTGTTATAAAGCTGTGTTTGTGTGTGTAAATAAGAAAAATATATTGTAAAAATATTCTTTGAATTTATGAAATCCTGTGATATTAGGATATAAGGATTCCAGTAGAAGCACAACTGCAAGTAAGTACACATATCTTTATGTTTTTTTTAGATTAGAATGCATGCATGGTTCCGTTTTAGAGGCATGAACAAAAAATATTGTACATTGTAACAAGGCGCAGGTAAAATCATCTTTTTTTTAAATGATTAAGTGTTTGTGGAGACGAATATTTTTAAAACATGCGTTTGAAACATTTAATTTATGATCGCAATTTATTTTAAGTAACGAATTTATGGCAAGTTTACAGTTTGGACGGATACAGTAATTATATAAATATATTTAGAAAAAATAATATGTTGAGAGTTTAAATATATTTATCAGTATGTAAAAAAATAAAAAAAGGATGTAATTAACGATATTTAGCAGTATTTATTTTATTTGTAAACATATTAATTATTATTTTTTAAATTTTATGTGTAAAATATATGCCATATATTTTATAAATTGTTATATTGTTTATTTCAAAAATTATATCCATGTGTTAAATAAAACAATATTATTATTCATTCGTTTTATAGGTACACTTAATACCAGCACACATTTTTTCGATAAAAGTTAACTCTTTAAGTAGGTAGGTACCTACCAACACATCGATTGTTCGTCAATATTATCGGTCTTATTAAAGCAATTTGTTACAGAACCAAAACAAATTAACTGTTTACTAACAGAAGTAGTACCTACTATAGCTTGAGTTTGGCCTAAATATGTGTGTGTGACCATTGTTTGGTATTGGCACCATAGAATAACTTAAAGTTTTAAATGAAAGGCGCCAATATTCTCGGTATTTGCTTTTCAAATTTGACAGAAATAGTTTAACAAACGAATGAACCTTAAAAAAATCGAATAAGTCATTGATTGCGTTCAAATAAATGCATATTTTTTTAGAACGATCAAGCAATTTTACGCTATAATTTCTTGGCGAGATATTTTATATTAGTAATAATACTAATTATTTACAAAGTTGACATATAATAACTTTCTAATGTGAAAGATACCTAAATCCTTAAAAGTTTTAAATGATACATTTATTAGGTTAAGTCGGATATAAATACATAAAATAATAATAAAAGATTTTTTTTTTAAATAAACTGTTGTCAGCTGTAAAGTGAATGAGTATTCAAGAAAACAATTAAGTCTAGTCGTTCCACTGCGTCAGTTTAACGTGCGTACATGAAGTTGACGAAGTAGTGTCTGTGGTTTTCCGTTTCTGCTTCGATCTGGTCTCTACATTGTCTTAGCTTCTTTTTTTAAAAAAGCTTAATAATAATATTTAACAGATATTTCGATCCCAAATACAGAGAATCTAAAGAAAAAATGTACAGAAAAGATACAAAAGTACACACCCCTTGCAGAAAAAATCTGACAGATGTGGCATCAACATAAGATTAAAATCATACCAATTATTATCTCATCAACAGGACTCATTCCGAAAACATTACACACATCATTTAAAGAAATAGGAATGCATAAAAATTCATACATTTCATTGCAAAGATCTGTTATAATCGACACATGTTTCATAGTTCGACGATTCCTCACTTGCACTACACAAACACCCACAGTAACTGCCAACGAACCAACCCACTTGGCATAAGCCCGTGATAGGTTCGCATCGACTATCGTTAGGTACAGCTAAGATTAAAAGGATTATAATAATATTTATTTAGATAAAAAGTACCATAATTTAGAAAAAAATCTTACTAAATTTTTTAACAGGTAGTTATTGTTTAGTCACCACTAATACCTTTAAATTCAGTGAAATGTATTTTTTATATTAACTTTGGCATCTTAAATTTACAATTCATCGATTTTTTTTTAAAGACTGGCTAATGCTCGTGGTTAATATTTTCCTACTCCGGAGTATAAAATAATCTACATAGTAGTCTGTAGTACTGTATTTATAACCGTAGCAAAATGGTAATGATCGAAAAAATTTAACATAAAAACGAAAAATAATCACTTCTTGATGACGTAAATAAAATTAATGTCATGTATTTAATATTCTTAGATTATTAACCAACTTGTTATCTAAGATTTAATTATTGTTCTCATCAAAATGTGATATTGTTATACCCAATATGTTGTCGATTCGGAATATTTCAATCACAAAGAAGAACTCGTTTGGAATAAAAATATTGTCTGTCTTGATAGTAGTCCAAGAATAAAACCACAACAGTTGTTTTTCTTTTTCACGGATCGCAAAAATAACGATTAATCAATTCGAGTCATATTTAAGAATTTAAGATTTTTATTTGTTTAGAGTTGTTTTTTTTATTGAGTTGCTGTTAACATAACAGGCAGGCAGGCAAGACTAGCAGACTGGCGAGTGCATGCGTCACGTTATTTATTATTCACCTAAATATGGAGTAAATTACAGAACTTGGAATGTATAGTCAATTCAGTAAGCTCTGAAAACTGAATACAGTTGAGCTGTTGAGTTCAAATTTGACCTAACTGAAGGTAAAATTGAATTAACCAGGATACTGATAAAGAAGAACGGCAGATCATGTACCCCTAGAAATATATAATTGCTAATAGTAACTAAATTATTCTTAAAGAATTTTTACAACTCAACAAAACGCATTCCTATGTTTTCTAAACTTGCCATGCATAAAAAACGTTATATTTACATCGAGATTAATGAATGAGATTACTAGTGTATTTAGCATTTAAAAACAATCATTTCTTTATTAATAATGTTGACTGTACAGATTAGACGAAGTACTAAAGGAATGAATATTTTACATCAATTAATTTAACGAAAGGTACTAAAAAATTTGATTCAAATCGATTAGATAAATCGTGAACATTATGTAAAAAAGAAATTACACTTATTTGACAGGGCAACATTTTGCAATCAAGGGATCAAGAAAATCGTAAACGAATGATTTTATATAGATATCTAGGTTAATCTGTTGACAGCAATGACAACTTATTTGTGACAGCCAGCTGTTATTGTTATCGACTTCGTATGCAAACTATAAACTGAAAAACCTTTTGAATGCAGGGTTCTAAAAATCTGGTAATTTAAACTGTTATTGTTGATAATATGCCCAGCCAAATTAATAAAATAATAATCCCTACCATGAGATACGCAAGGCGGTACAGAACTCCCATATATGCCTGCCACTCTCCTATAAGACCTTTTTACTACTTGTGTATTTAAGTAGGACGATGCAGATACGTTTAAGATGGTCTGCCATAAATTTTCAATCGTTTAATTATAAACACGCCTAAAATACTACAATTAGATAATATTGTAGTATTGCATCTATCTTTATCATCAGTTAATTGTTGCCAAGCCTATTTTAAACATTTAAACACGATCAATAGATTGGCACGTAACCTTAACCTAACCACGTAACTTCGCTGGATAGATAAATAAGGATTACCAAACAATATTATTAAGCAGCGTCCACACTATGCCGGGCGAGGCCGAGCGGGCTGACCCGGGCGGCCTAAGCCGGGTTGGTGTGGACGCCCCGGGCGGCTTAAAAAGCCGGCCCGAGCCGAGCCGATCCCAACCCGCAGAAAGTAGGTACAGATCAAAGGATGCCGGCCCGAGCCGAACGAAAATATGTAGTGGGGACGTGCCGAGCGGCACCGGGCGGCTTTAATTGTCCAGTCTTGGTGTCGAATTGAAACTAATAGGTAGATATAACCCGGGCGGCCTCGTTTTCGGTGTGGACGTCGTGCCGGCCCGAACGAACCCGCCCGGCTTAGGCCGCCCGGGTCAGCCCGCCCGGCCTCGCCCGGCATACTCCGGCATAGTGTGGACGCTGCTTTATTATGATACCAATGAGATTTTATAAGAGGAGTAAACTTATTTCCGACTTCGTTGCAGTGCGACAAATACATTATTTAATCGATTGCGCACAATTAGTACGTTTTTAAGGGTATGGGAGGACTAACGAGCAGACAGGTCACCTGACTGAAAGTACCACTGCCGATACCTTCATATCGGAGTCATAACTGCGTCGCCATCCTTTCAGTCTTCCCCCAGAATCAGGGGCAGAAGGGTCTTTTTATTTCCGTGCGGAAATCCCCTCGGATACCACCTATCGGTGGCATGTCGGACTCGAACTGACTAAAAACCGCACGCCGTCTCGGGTACCAATAGCCGGGGAACCAGGTATACCCTAGAAAGGAAGTCCCTGGTGCTGGGCAGAAGGGTCTGGGCTCCGGTGACCTCACTTACTATGCAAAAAGCTATATAAATATACTTATATATATATAATATATATATATATAAAAGAAAGTCGTGTTAGTTACACTATTTATAACTCAAGAACGGCTTTACCGATCTGGCTGAAAATTGGTGGGGAAATTGCTTAGAGCCAGGAGACGGACATAGGATACTTTTTATTCCGTTCGACACTGTTTTTTTTTTTTTTTTGTTTTTTACGAACTTTGCTTTACTCGGAGATGCCACGTTATTATACTTGGAATGCTTCGAATTTTCAAAGACGGAAGCAAGGCGATGCGGTTCCTGGGTATCCGGATGTGCGTTCTACTGATGCTCTTGGTCGTATGTACACAGATCATCCAAAGAATGATGAATGTTTCTATTTGCGGTTGTTGCTGGTAAATGTGCGTGGGCCAACGTCATTTGAGACACTACGGACTGTTAATGGTGTAATATTCCCAACATATCGTGCTGCATGGGAAGAACTGAACTTATTAGAAAACGATACCCATTGGGTTACGACAATCGCCGAAGCCATTATCTCTGCATCTCCAAGTCAGATACGCACATTATTCGCTATTATAATTTCGACATGCTTTCCATCAAACCCATGTAACCTGTGGCACAAATATAAGGATAATATGTCAGAAGATATTTTACATCAAATTCGTATCACTTCCAGAAATCAGATGTTGAGATGAATGAGGAGATACATAATCGTGCTTTACTCTTGATCGAAGATATGTGTTACCTCATGTGTGGTAGTTTATTAATCAGGTTAAGAATGCCAGCGCCCAATCGTGAAATGAATGACGCATTTAATCGAGAATTGGA